AACGAGAAGGCCGAAATAGAAACCCTGTTCCTAGTAGGGAAATAGCGCTGCTTTGTGGGCGGGCGCAATGGTGGTGGGCGGGGCCAGTTGCTGCATCCTAAAGGCTTAACGCCTGGACCTTATCAAGTCATCCCGAAAGCTGTGCACGTGCTTTCCCCTTGCGTAGTGCTGCATCTTTCTCGAGGGGAAGCCTTATTTCGATCAGAAACCTCGGCTCTACCTCTAATTGTTCGATGTGCCAGAAAGTACTATAATTTCTGCAATTGTCCAATAAACGAGTACTCTGTACTTTCATGAATTAATTTCTGGATAGATTAACCTTTAAACTAAATTGAAAATTATAAATAGCTGTACCGATGTATCAGTTGGAACCACCTTAGAGTATTTTCTTGAAAATTGAAAATACTTGGGATGTTGACTCTTAGCAGCCGTCTGCCAGATATTAATTATTCAATTATAGTTTGAAAAATACTATTCTACGAAATAAACTGCTTGAAAAAGAGACTAGTGTTGCGACGGTAGCTCCTGGCTACAGATATTACAAAAAATCCAGTCAAAGAGGCGCGGATAAAATGGCGGAATGGAGAGCTGTGCCTGGAGCAGACCCTGCAGGATCACCCTTACGCCTGGCCGAGTCTGAGGGGAGGACTGGAGCTTGTATTTGACGAAAGGGTCGTCGAAAAGGTGGGGAGCAAAAACAGTTTGAGGAACTTGTTTCTTTTTGATGATTAGAAAATCTTCTAAAGAGATGGGAGAGTCCTCGGGAGCTGGTGTGGTCGATCCGGGCTTTGCGGAATTACCAACCACTGGAAAACTGAAGGGGCCGTAAAAATTTAAGAGTCGGCCAAACGCCACGGATAACTTCGGTATCCGGAGAAGCAGTAGGGATTGGATGCCGATGGGGGGGGGGTACTGGAACCTGGTTCAGCAATATTAACAGTAGTTTGGGCGCTATCCCAGGCATTATGATGGCAACGCATAAAACACGTATTCTATGGAAAAGGAGACCAAGCCTTGCACGGGGTTGAGGAGACTCCAAGAAGCCATTTTCACCACCCCTGAAGCTCCTGCCTCCTCCTAGGCTTAGTTCTAGAGATGCTCCGTATATTCCGATAGGCTCCGTTGGAGTGTATTGATGTATACCTGAGACGATGATTGGCTTAGGGCTAATTGTGCAGCCTCACCTTATGTGCTCGACTGGTACCGTATTCAGAGGTGAAGAAAAGTATAAACTTGACCAGTGACTCGTTATCGTCGAATCTTATAACGGCTCTCTATGAAAGCAAAGTCAAGTAAAAGTAAAAGTCATGGCGCGACCCCGAGTGATAAACCACCTTCAATCACTTGGTCTTTCTCTGATTAAGTAAGTCGGCATGCGCCATGCATTAGAATGCTGTCCACAGTTGTGGAGCGATTTAGAAGCATTGTTGGACTAAAAAACACAAGCTAGTCAGCTAAATCTAGTATCAGCTTGGTGACACTGAAACAATGGAACTTTACATGACTGGGCGGAATTCGATCTGCCGTACTGCCTGTGTCAACTATTTATAGCCACTGCTCTATGGTGTCTTGGTCAGGCCTACAAAGGTATTTCATTCAAATCGAATTAGCAGCTTCAGTGAGCCATGGATTTCTTGCAGGAGAGAACTTCGATCCGCTAAAGTTCAAGCAAACTCATCACCTAAGCATAGCCGTGTTCGTGAATGTTCGTGATCCCTTGAACTCTCAGAACATCTTGCTGAACTCTTTGAGCCTCGCGCTACTTCAACACTTTCATTCCAAATGACCCTAGGCGGGCGGGGCCACGCCTCCCAGCTGACTCGGCTGTCTCCGCCCCGACACACTCTCTCGCTCTACACGCCGGGGTGGGTGTGTATGTGTATGGGGCGTGTGGCTGTGTGGTGGTCGTACTTACGAGGGTACGTGGCAAAGTGGGTGTGGCCAGCGTTCAGGCCAGTTCAGATGATCTGCTAGCTGACTGGACGCAGGCTGCTGCTGCTATTGTTGGTGCTGCCATTGCTGTACTGTGACCGACAATGTCCTGTCGGCTGTCAACCAACGAAAGTCTCCCGCCGGCTGAGTTCGACTCTGTCGCCTGTGCCAGCTGTTTCTATTTTATCTACATGGTTGCAAGTCCTTATGTGGCACAGTACTACACACGACGATGTCCGGCAGGACTGCTAATCTGCCGTGATCCGTTCAGTGAGGATTGCCATTGCGACAATCCGCGATCGGTTTTTAATCTGCCCGAATTCACAGTGAACAGGTGAGTTCATCTTTTCATCCGGTCATTCTTTTCTGTGATGATATCCTGAAGGCGCTGACGGTCTTCTTTCCTTTTTTTCCATTCTGCGATCGATCATTTTCAGGGCTATCAGTGATAAGCCCTTCAAACCTGTCATTATTCCATCATCCTCCCGCAGTTCATCTCTGTCTTTCGTTTTTGCTCCCAATCACTTCCTTATTCTCTGAAATCATTCCTAATGCCCTACTTCCGCATAGTTTCCGCTTACTATTTCGTTAGTTACGCCTTAATTTAACCATTCTGTCATCCTTGTTTCCTCAATGGCTCTTCATT